TCATCCCACTCTCTTCCACTTTAGAGATGAGTGAAGGGATTGACTTGAAGCGCTTCAGCATGGTCAAGGCAGTTAAGAGAGTTGTGTATGTTATCAAGGATGGCCTGTGGCCCTCTTCTATTAAGCCATMAAAAATGAATTGCACTTCATGGGGTTTCCCTCTTTCAATCAAAATGTTCATTAGTTTTGTTTTTGAGCGAACTGTTTGGCAGCTACCTTTGCTCARGCACACAAAGCAGTGGGATTGAATTTGGGAACCAAGGGAACTTGAAATTGGACGTAGGTGACTCTTCTCACTTGAATGTGGTTCCTGTCAAATTGAAGAACCATCAAAATTTGACCCCTAAAACAATGTATGCAATTTTCATTGATTAACTATAACTATGACATAATTTATCAAAAAAACTATAACTATGACATAGACACATATTTGAACTCAGAAACAACTAGGAATCTGTTCAAATTTCCAATTCTGAGTTAGCCATTGTGATGAAAGGTCTGCTCTGTTTACTTTTCAAGGGATAGACCTTCTAGCCCCTCTTGGACATCCCCGCCTTCTGGATCCATAAAACTGAATTTTGAAGGCTGTAGCGTGGGGAATCCAGGGCCTTCTAGAATTGGGGATGTGTTCAGGAATGAGGAGGGGATTATTTTAGCTTTGTTTTCAGGCCCTATTGGAGAAGGAGACTCATTTAGAGCTAAGATCTTTGCGGCTCTGGAAGGTATCCAAAAAGCTAGGGACCTGAGCATCAGGAGTTTGATCCTTGAAGGTGATTCAGAGGTGGTGATTAGATGGCTAAAGGAAGATAACAGCAGCTTGTGGAGGTTTAGCAATGAAAGGAAGAAATTTAAATGGCTTACTAGGGGTATTGAGGTGAAGTACAACTGGGTGAAAAGAAATGCCAACTCACTTTCTAATGGTCTAGCCAAACAAGGGGCGAATAGGGATTCTTTATTTTGGGCTAATTTCTAAGTCTTTTCTTGTATTCTAATGGTGGGGAGCTAAGTCATTTTATCTCCCCCTTTCTTGTACTTAAATTTCACTTCTTTAATAAAAGTTTTCAGTTACTGATCAAAACAAAAGATAAGTTCCACCATTGGACTAAGGTAAACATTGGTGGATTTGGTTATCAGGGCTGACCCAATATAGTTGACTAGCTGATGTTCTTGTTGAACAACAAGTGTTTCTACACTTGAACTGGAAATTAGTATAAAATGATGGAAAAATAACCACTTTTCATAAAAATCCATATTTGAGTTCCATATTAATCATGGTTTAAGGTTTTATTCAGAAAATCATTTTCTATTTTAATTCCAGTATATATATATATAAACGTGGAGACATGACACAGGGCACTCCACGAGACCATTTTTCCCTTCCCTATATTGCATCTCCAAAATCCAGCTTTTGTAAATTTCCCTTCTTTTTCTTTTTTTTTTCTTTCCATTTGTTTAAGAGGGAGACAAAAGAGAGTTGAAAGAGGTAGACTGTCCACCGTTGTTTGTTCTAACCAACAACAAACCAGGGGGAAAAATGGCCTCATAGGTTCAAAACTGCTGGAATGCTAACGGAAGGAGCTAAGTGTTGGAATCTGAAAGTAAAGGYTAGCTCTCTATGGTACAAGGTAGTTCTCTGTATTTTACCCTTAGTTTTTATACAAGCAACTTTCATACARTTCCACAAGTTGGCCAAAAAGAAATTGGCTGTTTGGGCCAACCCATATCATATGAGTAATACTTCAAAATTAAACAAAAACCATATAAACTATTCTGCTTGGTATTGAAGAATCACACACCAGAAGAAAATGCTAATTCTTTGATTCAAGTTGTTGCAATGGCCATTGATTTCAAATACAGAAGTGTATAGAGGAAACGGAGGCATGGTGAAAATAKAAGGAAAGGTATTCTAAGATTTTGTACATTATAAAAAATCACACAAGTAACAAGAAGACACATGATGAGAAGGGGCAGTATATGTAGCTGTATAATTYCAGAACAATAAGAMACCACCAAAAACGAGAAAGTAATAATTTARTACAGAAAATTTCCTTCAGTAATCTAAAAAACACAAAAAGGGAAAGGCGGATCAGATATCATGAACACAATTACATAAAAATGTAATTAGATAAACCAACTAGCCAGCTTAGAAGCCATACCTAAATATACTTTATGAAGTGCTTGAATATGATGAGTTCCCAAAAATGGAAAAGTTAAAAGAGCATTTCCAGGGATTAAGAAGCAAAAGTAAAATGCATGTGGAAACACAAATTTCCATTCTAAATAGAAAAAAACAGCTGGACAAAAGGTTCATACTGTCCTAAAATAATAAACAAAAAGCTAAAACTTTTTATAATCCTTTTATTGCTATGCTACACAGACTTGATGTGGGTATTGGGTCTCAGGTGAGGTTATGTGTCGAAGAGTCAGATTCATTTGACCTCAAAACCTTTGGGTACAGGGAGTCAGCTATGTTCACTCAAGCTTTCATCAAGTAGCTTTTGTTGGGTGTTCTCTAACTAAGTGGGTATATACACAATCTGTCAAATTCTCACATTGAA